TTCAGCAGAGGGATGTTGCTGGTTCTGTTTTAGTTAGAGGAACGTGGACTGGGGAAGTACCCACTGACTCAGCAGGTCCAGTTCCATTGCAGTCTTGGGCAACTGTGTGGTCGGTTTAGTTTTAAAAAGTGTGCAGACCTGCATACTGTTACACCATTAAATACTTGCACTGTGCTGTAAGATTAATAGAAAAAGACTCCAGCTGTAACTATGATAATGCAGAAAGACAGAAGGAAAGATTAAAGGCATTGCTATTTTAGGACCTTTTTGACAGGAGCATATCTTGTGACTTTTTTGAAGAGTAAACTGTTTTAGACTGTAGAGGAGGGCCAAAAAGGGGCTGGGAGGAAAGCGGCACTACCTTGAAATTTTATGACTTGCTTCCCCCATTTCTAGTTCCAGATCTAGAATGGAGCTTTATCACAAGTTTGTATGTAAGATGGAACAGCCAGGGCATCTAGGAGAATATTTTATCAAGAAGAACACCAATGCTGTAGGTCTGCATCCTGTTTCTAGACATGACTGACTTCTGTTATAACTTTTCCCAACTTTTGTTTAGCCTAGTGAAAAGGTCAAGCTCTTCTGATTTTATCTAAATAAAAGACATTACAGGATAATAACTGTTCTACTTCAGTTTTCTACATCTGCTCCAGTTTAAGTTCCTTTTGCTGAAGACGTACAGTTCTAGTAATCCAGTAATTCATGAGATCTTATGCTTAGTACAGTTCTATTGATACTTCCCCTTTTCTACTAAAAAAAAGCCTTTTTGCATTCAATGAAATAAAAAAGTAATAATAATAAACATTTTAGAAAGGCATGAGCTACATGTGTAGCTGCCGTTTTGATTTTCTTTCTGTTGACCAGAATAGCCAGCCTTTTCTTCTTCTTTCACCTCTGCTTTATACCTGTAGATTTTTTCATTGATCCCTTCTAGCTTTACACTTTTTAACATTAGCTCTGCTCTGAGTGGGGTGGTTAACATCCTGGGGTCTCTTCCAATCTAAATTATTTTATAATTTAGAGAGCTGCTTCTTTCAGTGGTCTAGGAAGAGTAATACTTGGATTTCCAAGTGCTTAGGTACATAAGACAGTTTAAGAGTGTTAGGGCTTTTAATCTCTATGGTTAAACTTGCAGTATCTTTGTTACAGATGCTCTTACAATCCTCATATATGCTAGCTGCACTGTCAGTAGTGTGTTTAATTTTTAGGACATACTCAGTATCATATTCACCAATTTCAATACTACTTATCATATAGCATTTGTATTTTATTTTTTTTTCTTTCTGATTTCAGGATAATTTTTTTAAAAAAACTTTTGTCTTCAACCTATTGATTTCTATTTCATTGAATTATTGAAAATAACGTGCAATAACATCTCTTTGTTCCTCGACTGTAAATGGTTCTGAGCATGTGCTGTCTTTCATATTCTAGCAGTGCCTTGTATATGGCACCCTGACCCCTGCTGCTCTGGTGTTAAGAAATATGCTTTTCTTTTCATCTCACTGCAGAAAGGTAGAGTCACAAAGGGAGGTGTGCTGAGCTCAAAATTGAGTTGAAAATGGTGTAACTGGTAGGAAAAATATGCAGCCTTGAAATATTTAGTCAAATGTTTGCTTCTGGCCATAGCACATGCAGAGTTTGAATAACAGTCCAAGATGATGTTTTATGTTAGTTTGCACAAAGTAGTCTTCTCACATCCAACTTAGTCTCCTCTTAGATTTTTAATCATTCAGAAGTAGTTACAGCTTCTGCTTTTGCTTATGTGAAAATAAATGAGTTGGACGTAAGATTTTCCTGCACTTCTGCATTCCTTGTCAAGATTTTTTGTTACTTTTTAATGTATTTTCAAATGGGCTTTATACTTTTAAATACTTTAATATGTGTTTGCCAGAAGGAAAGCAATAAGGCAACTATGAACCCTACTCTTTGCAGAAAATAGAAAGTCTGAAAACTGTCAAAATTAAACTAGAAGGTGCTTACCTGGCTCTTACCATTTAATATTGCAAGCCTATTGGAATCTGAAAAGATAGTTTAAGGGATTTGAGAAAGAAACTGAGTGAAGAGGGTAGATACGAGATTGTAAATGTGACTTCTCACAGGTTTGCAGCTAGGAAGGGCTGGGAAGCTGTGGAAGTGGCAGAAGGATGCTACAGTAAAGGTTGCTAGGCTACTGTGAGGCAAGCACTTATGGAGCACTACTCAGCTATGCCGAGCATTTTTACTACCCAGCTGCTAAGTAATCTGTGTATTGTATTGCTGTTTTCCTGGCTGCTGGCTGGAAAGGGAAGTTTGAACTGCTAAGAAACCTTGTCTGTTTGTAGAATGAAACTTGGCCACATGCCAGTTATTACCTTTTGCAAGACCAACTGTTTTTGGTTTCGGTCACATTGACTGACAAGGAATGTCAGGAATTCTGTTGAACATGTTTGAAATGGAATAGCAAACAATAGGTCTTTGATTCAAGTATAAAAGTATAAAATTTTTGCATGAATTTAACTTGCTCTGATGGTACTGGCTGGTTTGTCTTTACCATTTTGGCCTTCAGTTCCTCTAGTCTGTATGAAGAAGCTTACTGAAAATGGAATGTAGATTCTCTTTTTTTCATCTGGATTTGATGTAATTTAAAAAATATTTGTAAGAATGTAATCTGTACCAGTAAAAATTATTTTTTTGCAATTGCAAGGTCATCAGTTTTTCCTCTGTAAGGGAAGGTAATTCTTCATCTGCTTTTTAAATGGGTTCCCTGTACTGTGTTTTGCTGTACATATAGTTGGAAAACACATACATTTATGATTCTTCTTATTTGTAATTTAACCTTTCATCTTTGTCTCATGAGATAATTTTAACAGAAAGGTAAAGCTAACAGTTACTACCATAGTCAGTGACAGAGGAACTGAATATGGACTTAAATTTGTGGTGTGTTAATAATAATTTCTTTGCACCTGTTGTCTTTTCCTTGTGAGCTCTAACATAATAACAGACTTCTCTTTTCTTTTAACACTATTTTTTGAAGGTGTATTACAACTCTGCCTGTAGTGTTGTTTTAAGAACAAGTCAGATGCTGAATAAACTCTAGAATTCAATAGGAAAAAAAAAAAAAAAAAAAAAAAAAAAAAAAAAAAAAAAAAAAAAAAAAAAAAAAAAAAAAAGAGAGAGACTCTTCTGACATCCAGGAGGGTGCAGTGGATATATTGTAACATGGATTGATCCAAGTCTAGGGTCCTGTTGCCAGTTGTGGACTCCCAAGACAAACTAGCTCCCGTGAAGTAGTCACCCACTTGGTACTGATTTGGGGCCCAGGGATTTCTTGAACTTAAACCCACTATTTTAATGTAAGTGCTTTTTATGTTGTTGTCTTCTGTGAATTGGTGTAGGTGCTTTTTAAATCTATGTAAAGTAATAGTATTCACATACTATGCCAAGAATTCCAAAGTTCACTTACATGTGAACATGACTGCCACATGTTTGATTCTTATCTGCTAATTTTGCTTGATGATGTCCATTTCTTGTGTTGAGAAACCAGGAACAATTGTTATCTATAGCTTTCTTCATTCTGTAGATGGTGTTAGAGATTCTGTTCACAGCTATTTCTTTTCCTGAGGGAAGACTATTTCTGTTAACCATTCCTGGTGAGAATGCACCTTGAATGAATGCTCTGTTCAGTTTTGGGGCCCTCACTGCAAGAAGGACATTGAGGTGCTGGAGTGAGTCCAAAGAAGGGTAATGAAGCTGGTGAAGGGTCTAGAGCATAAGTCTTATGAGGAGCAGCTGAGGGAGCTGGGGTTGTTTAGTCTGGAGAAAAGGAAGCTGAGGGGGAGACCTTATTGTTCTCTACAACTACCTGGAAGGAGGTTGTAACCAGGTGAGTTTCAGTCTCTTCTCCCAAATAACAAGTGATAGGACAGGAAGAAGTGGGCTTAAGTTGTACCAGGGGAAGTTTAAATTGAATATTGGTGTTGAATGAAAGGGCTGTCAGGCACTGGAACAGGCTGCCCAGGCGAGTGGTGGAGTTACCATCACCAGGGGTATTGAAAAGATGCGTAGAAGCGGTGCTTAGGGACTTGGCATTGCTGGGTTAACAGTTGGATTTGATGATCTTAAAGGTCTTTTCTAACCAGAATGATTCTCTTCCTTGTAGCTGTGAACATGCTGTTTTGAGCATGCTGGTTGTGTCCTTTTCTATGCTTCTCTCAGTTCTGTTAGATTCTTCTTGAGAAGAGTAGGAACCAGGATTGAGTGCAGTATTAAGAAGAGAAGTTAACCAGTGATGTATTGTGTCCTTCTTTGTTTTATAATTCTTTTATTAAAATTCTTAACTTTTGTTTTACTACTACTGCTATTTGTATTCAGAATGTCATTCCAAAGTGAATGCCTTTTTCACAGGCTGTCATCATCTGTGGGATGTTAGGATTCTGGGCTGTCTTAAACTTACGTATTTTACTTTACATTTATTTACAGTGGATTTCTTGTGTTAGTTTAGCATCTACTGACAGTTCCATAAAGAACTCATTACATTGTGGTCATTTCTTGCTTTTATAGCTTAGAATAGCTAAAGGTATCAAAAAACTTTTTCATGTTCATAAAAATTTCAGTAATATTTTCACATTTAAAGTATACATTTATCTGTGCAGCACAAGTTGCACATGCAGTTCATAAGAGGCATGGAAATTTTATTTTATTCTCATTGCATTAATTTACAAACTCAATCTTTTGCAGTTCTGTTGCTAGAGAAGATGGAACATGATGACATTTGTAATAAAACTCTGAAGATTACAGACTTTGGTCTGGCTAGAGAGTGGCACAGAACAACCAAAATGAGTGCAGCAGGGACTTATGCGTGGATGGCTCCAGAAGTGATCAAGTCCTCCATGTTTTCTAAAGGAAGTGATATTTGGAGGTAAGAAGCTTGTCTGCTGAAGACTGTGTTCAGTAGAACCATGTTGAGGTTTTTGAATGAATTTTTATTCTGGTGGGGTTTTTTTTATGGTTTCCTGGGGTATGGTCTCAACTTACGGCAAGTATAGCTGTCTATAGTCTAAGAAACATATTCATTTGTCAGCATCTGCATCTAGTTCATTTGATCTCCCTTTAGTTATACATGACTTAGAGTTTGGTGGGGGGAAAAGGAAAAATAACAGAAACCTTTTTTTTTTTTTTTTTTTTTTTAGAAAGCAAAGTATCATTAAGAGAAGCCTTTAAGATATGTATTGGTTTAGATACATAAGTATTTACTCAGCTATATGCTCTTGATACATTAACATATGAGTGATCTTATATTCGTATGTTTACTTAATATCAGATGTCTGAAAAGTTTCATTTTGCAAAAACAAATGGGACCAGCCAGTTATTACCTTATATGTCTGATAAATAAAAATAAGCTGGAAACCAAAACTTAAATTAGTGCTTAAATTAGTGCTGGTTTTTAGAAATCTAGAATGTCATTATGTTTAAAAGTGAGTATCTAAGCTTTCATATTTAGAGAGATTTTTGCTTTCACTAGCTGGATTGAGGAGAGTGTGTTCAGCATGACATGGTTTTAACTTGCTCTCTGTTTTTTAAGGTGGGGAGCTCCCTATATATGTGAATTTATTCTTAAAGACATTAATGTGAATCATATAATGTGGCTCTCAATACTGATTCTATTTTTGAGTGGTGTAGTGTGGGATGCATGTATCATAGAAAGGTAATTTAAGCTTTAGTTTTAGTTTAGTTCTGTTTCTGAAAAGCAGTGTTTGCACAATAGACTCTAAAAGCTTCTGCGCCTCACCCTGCGAAGTCTAAGAAAGTTTCCTTCTTTTTGAAATGTTTTCTCTGTGAAGGATCCAAGGTAGCTATTTGGGGAAGTAAGGGAGGACTTCAATCTGTTCTCTCATGCTTTCTTATGCACGTTCTATGTTGTATAATTCTTAAATAGGGTCCTAATTTGTTTAGATGCCTGATTTTCTACAGCATGAAGTAATACTTCTGGTATTCTCAGAATTAGTCTGTATTTGCACTACTGTTTTGTGACACCCATTTGTCTTGTATCTGGAACTGTTTTTTCAGCATTTTGTTTACATCAGTCTGAGTTGATACCCAGTTGAGAAACATCTTTGGCTTAATTCTTTTTTGCCATTCTTTCTTCCTTTTTTTTTTTCTTTTGCGGGGTGGAGTTTGGGTGTAGGAGTTTCCCTAATCAGCTGTATTCCATGCTTAATTACAGGTCCTGTCCAGTCTTGTTGCTGTGATTTTAGGTATCTGAGGGGGTATGCTTTGGTGCAATTATTTTATATTCTGCTGCAACATTAGTTTACATTTTTGGAACCTACAATATTTCTCTTCTTCGCCTTCTCTCCTGCACGCCTCTCTTGTAAAAATGTAAGTATTTAGCTCAATGATGGACATCTAACAGGAGAGGTTTTTAAGTAGAAAGGCTGTTTTGTATAGTATAGTTTAGACCTTGGCATCTAAAGATTTTCTGCTTAATGCACCTTGATCTATTCTGTTGCTTATCTTTATTCTTTCTTTAAAGGAAAAGCAAATAAAGAATACCTTGGTTCTGAGAGTGCTTTTTGTTTTTAAAACATTCAGGTTACAGGTTTTAAGTATACTGTGTTCTTATCTTACAGAAACCCATATGTCAGGGAAGTTCTAAACTTCATTTTAACATACTGAGTGCTGAGTCTCCAACAGAAGTCTGCAGACCTCTTATTGGGAGGGGAGGGAAAGAAAAGGAAAACAAAAACAAAATAATCCCAGAACTGTTGAGGCTGCTCAAGTATACAGTATATTCACACCTGCAGCTAGTATTCCAGAGTCAGCCAGTGCTCAAAAGTGTTGTGGGAGTGTTTTCATGTAGAGCCTACCAGGCTGCATATTCTCAGATGTCATCCTAGATAGCAGAACCGGTGCTTTCCAGACCCTGCTTGTGTATCCTTTTACTTCTCAAACTAGAGTTACAATTAATGCATTTATTATTCTTTGGCATATGCTTCCAAATTCCCAAATTAGAGTTGCACTCTTTCAGCTTTACCCTTCTATCGATCATCACACATTTCTTAGTGGTATGTCAGTCTTGGTTTTGTGTATGGAGCCTGAAATTGCCTACAGATTTCCAGGTGCTGGTGCTGTGCTTAAACAGTGGCCTTTACAGCACTCGATTGTACAAGCTCTTGGCAAAGTTAGGAAGCACTTAATGTACAGCAGAATTAGCAGCTGCTTTTGCCTGGCACATTGATATAATTTTGAAGTGATTCATGTAGCGATGCTTAGTAACCTCTGCTTTAGAAAATGGATTGTAGAGTAAAATAAACTTTGAGGACTTTAATTACCTTCACTTTGATCAGCTTTTAAAATATGTAAAAACTGCAAGTTATTGCTGGAATGAGATCGTAAGGCTTAAATCACATTTGACAGCAGGAGGAGAATTTCTGATAATGAAAATACTTTAAAAGACATCTTTTTGAGAGTGTATTAGTTTTTGTGGTTTAAAAATCTATGATTCAAGCATATTATGGCTGTATTTTTCCCTAAAGATGTAAAAGCCAGATGGCTTTTGATCTTTTTCAAAATGCTGTGTCTTAGAAGCTCTGGCTGTATATGTAGGACAACTTTATGTGGGCTGATTAAATTTAATACATAAAGTAGCTACTTTAGTTGAGAGCTAATAAGTAGTTGTCCTAAATAATGATAGATTAGTACCTCCAAAAAACTCCAGTGTGGCAGGACTAAAATGTTTTTAGGGCTCCTCCTCAGTTTTTCACCCAGCACTCACTCTTGGTACTTGATACTAAGACCACTTTCGTTAAGGGAGATGCTTTCATGCAATTACTGTTTTAGTCTGATTAAAATTTTACAACCACCACCTTGGCACTATTGAGAACAACTTAACTTATTTGAATTGTGAATTATAACTAATGCTAATAGTGTGACACAACTTTTAATGAAATATTATTTCTTTGGTCAATTTTATTGTTCTACTTAACTCCCGAGTTCACACTAAAATACATATGGAATAGTCTGAACAAGGGAATTCCTTTCATTCAGAACAGTCTACATTTACTGAGATAGCCTGACATTTTCTCTAAGCATGCAGATGAGATTTAGTTCAGTACAATTCCTCTATCATGCATAAAACATGTATGTACTGCAGGTATGTGTTGCACTTAAAATTGTCAGAAGTATCACTGCTTTAAAACAAAATCAGAATTGATTCTCTTACCCTTCTTCGAGTATGTAAGTGCAGAGATTAGACTGGAAAAAAAAGGGAGGAAATTCTTAAGGAGCCCAACACTTTTTAAATTCTGTTTTCTCTTTTTTAGGAATAAACTGTATTCCTCAACACTACAACTTAGTTTTCTAAGATGTGATAGGCAAAATTTCTTTGATAAACAGAACGTAGACAAACAAAACTCAGCTGATATTTGTACTGATATTGCATAGGTTTCTACTTTATTAAAGTGGTGTTGCAAGGTCTTGTAAAATGTTGAATGACTTTTTCTCATCAAAGAGAGTGTGATAGAAATCTATACTCGTGTGTTCCTTCCCCATGTCACATTTGCTGTAGTTGAGGTGGTTTTTCTAGTGATATGGCGTACATAGTAAGGGAGGAGGTACACAGCCCTTATCTCTCCAGCGCTGTATTAATTTTTCCTCATGTAGGAGAGTTCAGTCCAGTCCTGCAAAATTTGCAGGTAGTTTCTTCATGCACCTGGAGAGAAAGGGCAAGAGCAGTACTTTGTATTCTGTTTTATTCCCCCTTGCCTGCTCACTTTACTGTTCAAAAGCAGCATTAGGTTGTATTTTGTATCCTTGTTCTACAAAAAAAATGGAAGAGAAAGGAAAACAGAAAACCAAAATCAACCTCAGTCATAAAGTCCACTTTAGGCTTATGTTCTGAAAGGAATAATTCCTGCTTCCACAAAAATGACTGTGAAAACTGTTCATTTAAGTGGTACTGGGAGCTCTAGAGCAATAACAGTCAGTGTACTGTTTCAGCCTTTTTAGGGGTTTGAATCATTTGAGCAAGCCAAGTGTTGGGCATACAGACCCAAAGAAGGTAAAAGCACACACAGCTCTTTTTTTAGAGTGGAGAGCATAGCAGAAATTCTTACAGTTAATGTTGCTGCAAGAGGAATTCCTATGATTCTTGATTTTCTTTACCTGACGCTGAGAAAAGATCTTTTCATGCCTCCACCTTTCACTGGAGACAGTGTTGTTATATTTTGAGGTTTTTTGCTAGCATGGAAAAATTAGTTCTGTGTGTGTAATCATTTCTCAGTCTTGTTGCATCTTCTGTGAGAAGTGAAAGTTTAACAGGCCTTTATATAACACAGAAGGAATTAGCAATGCAGACTTACAAAACTGAGCCTTTGCTGGGTTATTTTATTACTATTCTGTGAAAACAAATAGCATGTGCATCTCAGTAATTTTTTGTGAAATGTTTGGAAAGAGGAATGGCCTGAATGCTTTCTGAGGTTTTTTTTGTTGTGTTTGTTTTTTCGTGGGAAGAAGGTTGCCTGTTTTCCTGTCGTTCCAACTTCTGATTACAAGTGAGATTTATATGATACTAGCATTCCTGTGAAAGTGATTTCAGGCTACATTTTTAATAGAAGTGTAAGCCAGTCTTAGAGTCACATCTAATTTGGTTAATCACTATTAGTGGAAAGGTGCAAGAAGACTAAAGTAGAGCTGACTCTTAAAGGCATTCACCCTTGGCTTGGAAAATCCTTGTGAATTTTAGTGCATGGTTGGACAGATATGTGTTTTTCTTGCATAAATGATGTGTCAGTTTTCAGAAGATAACTGTTAAAAAATTACCTTTTGTAGTTATGGAGTGTTGCTGTGGGAACTGCTTACAGGAGAAGTTCCTTACCGTGGCATTGATGGCCTTGCTGTGGCTTATGGAGTTGCTGTCAATAAGCTTACTCTGCCCATTCCATCTACCTGCCCTGAACCATTTGCAAAACTAATGAAAGGTATTTATGTTTTTTCTTCCTGTGTATTTAAATAGTTATGTTTTGGGGGTATTTATCCTTGTCTGTAAGAGTCATGGAGTTGCAAAATAAACACCTAATTTGATAATGTGCTGTGTACAAAGTATTGTGTCTTTACACAGCAGCCTGGTGTTAACAGAGAGTGAGGGAAGTCATGCAGTATTACAGTGTACTGCATAAGTTCTTCAATAGTGTCACAATACTTTTTTTTTTCTCTGTTTTTACTGATTTCTTTTTACACTCAAATTGCATTAATTTTTATAAACTACAGGATTTACCACAGATCAATACAAGATAAAATCCCAAGGGGAAGAACTGCAGATGCTGCTTTTTCCTCATTATTTCTTCCTGAGTGTCAGAAATGTTTCAAAAATGCATTTAAGAGAAACACACATTGCTTGCTAATGACTATTTCATTGTGTTTAATGAATTTCTTTACCTTTTTTATGTATCACTTCTTTGCAGTACTGCTAGTTTTACCATTTCAGATCCTAAAGATAGAGATTAATAAAAACAGGCTATTAGTACAGAAACAGTGTGAGTACAGATAGGTAGGTGTCACTTCTGTAAATGGAAAAGGAACCAGGGAACCCTGCAGATAAAGGAAACACATTAGAACCTGAAGTACAGTAGCAAGTAACTTGAAATTCATGCAATTCTTCAAAAAGTTCTATGTGTTGTTAAAAACTGATGGGATTTTGATAAATTCTAGAATGCTGGGAGCAGGACCCTCATATCCGACCATCGTTTGCCTTAATTCTTGAACAGCTTACTGCCATTGAAGGGGCAGTTATGACTGAAATGCCTCAAGAGTCCTTCCATTCCATGCAAGATGACTGGAAATTGGAAATTCAGCAGATATTCAATGAATTGAGGACCAAGGAAAAGGTAAGTTATTTTTTGTCTTGTTGCTTAGCCCTGAAGGAAGGGTATATGTGTGTACGTGCATTTATGTGATACAGAAGTTTTTAACTTTTGAATTATAGCTTACCAATATAATATTAGAAAAACTCAGTTTAGTAATGGAGATACTTGTGAAAGGATAAACTACTTGGAAGAAAGGATTTACTCCCTCATTAAAGCATTATTCATTTAAATTGCCTATTCTTGTTGATATTGTTCTTAAATTTAATTAATGTGTTTCTGAACAGGATTTTAAGATAACCCTGTAACTGTCTTGCAGAAAATTTACCTTAGATAAAAGGTCTGAATGCTGGTTTTCTCAAATAACAGACACTGTTGGTTGTTCCTCTTTCTTCCTCGACAAAAATGTAAACAGTTCTACATGCTGAAACTATAGTTAAAGGTGTTTCAGTTCACCTGAAAAGTTAAGTTTGACAGGAAGAGTAAGTTATTGTAGTAAGTGAGACTTATGTAAATGGCTCATTTAAGAAAGTTGAAAGAGAAGTATATCCACACCTGTCTCTGCAAAGAAAATAGATTATAGATCTCTAAATGTAGTATGTAGGCTCTTTTAAAAATGTGTTACTTTTGTCTGGATATTTGAATGCATCAATTAACAAACAAAGCAGGATTTTTTTACCCCTTAGCTAATCTTTATAGCCACTGCAAATTTTCAGCTGCTGCTGAACATTCTCCTCAGCTGTGTGAATGAAATTTTTTTCATCCTGTTACATGCTTGTATCATGTAGCTTCTTTTCCAAAACTGGAATAGTAATTGTAACTCTCTTCTTCCTGAACAGACTAATAATATTGATCTCTTTCAGTGTTGCAGTTTTGGAAATTTTCTTGCCAGATATTAAGATTGATTAGATCAAACTTATACTCATGAATCAGCAAATCAATTTTCTGTTGTTTATTATCCGGATTGCTGTCACTGATCTTCTTTCCATATTCTTATATCTTGATATGTTTGTGCTAAATGAGTGCTCACTGTTAATTCTTTGCCCTCTCTTTTAGTTACTTCAACTACTTTTTAATCACTTTGAGGTTTGTTTTCCTTTAGGCAGCTTGATAAATATAAGAGTTAGACTAGGCCAGGTGTCCTCTTGAGTCCTGATAGAAATGCTTCCAGCAGAAACAGATTCCTCTTTGCAGGTCTGTCTTGCAGTATAACTTTTGCCCGCTATATATTTGTTGTCATTTTTCATGAAGTGTTAATAGATGAAGAAGAGGATAATTGAGATGCACAGTTACTTGTGAAGAAATGTTCATAAAAGACATATAAAAGCAAACACTAAATTTGCGTCTTGCAAGTTGCTTTTAGTAGCCTTTGTACCTCACTTCTCATCAAGTGTCACAAATGTTTGTGGACTAGAGGCTGGTGATGGGTGTGACTTTACATATCTACTGTGCTATCAGTATATGTGGTTTCATAATTTATTATTCAGCAGTAAGACTGCAGTATCATCTATAATATTCATATGCATTTTCTTTCTACCTTTCCCTCCACCCTCTGCTTTTCCCTCTTCCAGTTTTGTTCACAGAACTGAATGAATGCTCTCTGTATAATTAGTCTCTGCCCTGCCTACAGTAGGTATACAGGTTGCTAGAGCTGGGCTGTGTGCCTCTTCTGACCCTCCAGCAACTGCTCAGCCAATAATTTCCCCCTTTTTACTCTAAGAGCAAATGTAACAGGCATTCTCATTCAGGTTTTAGCTTAATTATTTATTTATTTTATTTTCTGGAGGCGTTAAACCAGCATGAGATTGTCTATTGAAAAAAAACATGACTAAATCAAATTTAGGATTAAATAAATTGGTGCAAAGCTTTGGGAGAACAGTAATATTTTTGGTGTAAAAGTGAGTTAAGCTTAATTAGGGAGGGGAAAAAGTAAATGCACCTCCAAAGGCATCTGCCTTTATTAGGTAATCCTGTTCGAGAATGAAAGTGTGTAACTTTGTTTTAGACATGGTTTTCATATGTGCGGGTTTACTCAGTTTGGCATCTTAGCAATTTTACTGACAAATACTAGGGGGAAAGTAATGTCTATGAAGTATTTATATAGTAATAATAAAACAAACAAGAAAAACCCTGCATGGAGTCTTGCGCCCTGAAAAAGAGGAACTTCTGTAGCTGGAGGAATTCCTTCAAGCGCTTGCTGTAATTGAGTGATGGTGACACCCACTTCAAGAGAAGATCACAATCTTTTCACAAATGTTCTTGAGCAACTTTATGTATAGAATTCTTTCCTACCTTCCATGCAATGGGTGTTTTAATTGTAGAGTGGTGTAGAAACATTTCATAACTAATTGCAGTTAGTCTGTTTTAGTTAGTTTATTTAGAAAAGAGTAAATACTTAATCTCTCAGGGAGGAAACATTATTACTTTTTTATAGACTGTCTACCTTTTTGATACGGGACCTCAGGTTTTGTCTAGTTACTGAGCTTTATTGAAACTGGATTTGAGAACAGCAAGAGATGGATAATCAACAGTCTCTCCTAATACATCTTTATTACTGTGTTAATACCATAATAAATGTATTTTCTATTTAAACTCTAACTTTATTCTAAGTTTGAATCATAAAGCTTCTGCTTACAACCCTTGCTTTAGGTTGTTCAATGTTGACTGGATGAGAGGAGGAGGAAAATGAGAATTTGTAGCAATCTCTAAATTAAGTGACGAAATATCTTTAAAAAAAGACCCAAACAAACAAAAAAAACAAGCCCCGCAAACCCTCAAAACCTTACTCATGTGAAAACAGGCTTCTTTGAATTTCCAGGAGGTAGAATTGCATTTTGTGAAACTTTACACAAAGCAAAGTGAATGAAAAAATAAATAAAAAAATTAAATATTGTACCAAAATTAGCAAACCATATGAAATTTTTCAGTTGTTTCAATTAAATTTGAAAACAGTGATAAGCAGTGATGAATGTTACAGTTGTAAAGGGAAACAAAGTATTTTTCTGAAAAACAGATCCTTGTCACTGAACCAGCTTTTGCTTCAATGCTAACCTGTCTTTTGACATCCATATTCTTTTTTGCAACAACAGAGAGGTTTTTTCCCCCCTAATTTGAAAACAACAAAGTAGTATTGTTCAGGAACTAATTTATTCAAGACAAAGTGGGAGTTAAAAAGAGCAGGAAGTTTGATCTTGAGGGGAGGAATTGTGCTGGCATACACCATCACTTCATAGTGCTGAGCAGGAGTTGGCAATCTGCTCTGAAGAAAAAGTAACAGCAAAATACACCACGATTGTAAGATTGTACAGTGAAAAATGAATTAATTTTTTAATAGGAATAAGATTCTTATATGTCCAGAACTTTTGTCATCACTTAACTTCAAAAGCTGTTTTCTATTTTGAATTGAATTTTCATTTCTCTCTGGGTAAAATATGTAAAAATTTAAAAAAAAAACAGCCATAGAAACGTTACACTATCGGTCACATTGTAGCTTCCCCGTTCCCTGTAGTCTCTTTTATTGTACTGATTACAACATTTCTGGTAAGTCTGTTTCTTGTACTATATGCCCCATGCTATGAAGGGAGGTCTACTTACATTTCAGACATATAAGATTCTGGAAGCTGAAGATTAAGATAATTTTAAGATTATGGGTTTGCAGCTGTTTAGCCTAGGGGATTTATTTAGCCTGAAAAGTTAACTAGCTTCCTCACAAAAGCTTTTTCTTCTCCAAAATAAAAAAGTGTAAAGGGAAAATAACCACCATTCTATGGAATTGATGGTTGAAAAGTCTATGTGGTGTAATTTCGTGGTTAGTAGCTGTTTGATGTTATACAGATACCTGCTAGATTTTAATTAAGAAACAGCTGTCTTCTGTCTTATGACTTGGTTTATCCTATTACACTAATCCTCATTTGGTGTAATGCTGATTGCTTTTCTAGATAGAAAAGTGCTACTTAAATACATGGCTGAAAAACAGGAAAGGTTAGAAAATTTAAGATAAAGGCATTAATTTGTGTATTCGTCAGGTCATTGACTTAAGTGCGTAGGAGCTAAGAGCAGTCTGGACGCTATGAGAGAGTCTATGATGTGAAGTACGTTGAGAATATTTTCTACTAGGCTGTAAGCTGATAATCTTGGATTGGATGAGTTTTCCCCCTATTACCAGTGCTTACCTATGTTAAGTAAAGTGACTCAAGTTAAATGGTTAAAAGGAAATCTTTGTAACGATTGTGTCCAGATACAGAATGGAGGACTATCAGAAGGTCATATGTGCATGTTACATGTATTTAGGGCATCATGTAAACAGATAAGGAAATACTACCTACTGAGCATTTTATATATCCTTTTTTTATACAGCCTTCATGTTATTAATTTTACTTGTGTGAATCTTACCTTCAGGAGCTTCGATCACGAGAAGAGGAGTTGACAAGAGCAGCTCTTCAGCAGAAATCTCAAGAAGAGTTACTTAAGCGCCGTGAGCAACAGTTAGCAGAACGTGAGATTGATGTACTGGAGCGTGAGCTGAATATCATGATTTTCCAGTTAAACCAAGAGAAACCCAATGTAAAGAAGAGGAAGGGCAAATTTAAAAGAAGCAGGTTAAAACTCAAAGATGGACACAGAATTAGTTTGCCTTCAGGTTTGCAAATTTTTAAGTTCACAGTATATCTTACAATTAAATATGCAGGCTTAAATTATATGCTTAATACTATCAGTATTGGCTACTATTTTAATTCGTTGCCAGGTCCTTCTCCTGCACTAATAGTGCAAAAGGATATGGTAAGAATTGTATAGCTTTCCACCCACCCCCCCAAGAAAACAACTTTCACATATCATGCTCTTGTAGAGTAGTCCTCATTTCACCTGGAAGAATCTTTCACCTGGTTCAACTACAGATTTCTGAAGGGAAAAGTTACTAGATGGGAACCATATGATTTTAGACTGATTCAAAGTTCAGATTTTTGCTCTCATACTTTTTGTGCAGATAAAGAAGTACCTATTTATGACATCCTAGAACTTTCTGACACCATCAGATATTAGTGCTGTTTGCCCTAAGCTTGCAAATACGTAGTGGAAAACCAGTACTTAATAATGGCTGGAGGTTCGGGTGTGGTAGGTCCAAATTGCATGCTTACTGTGGTTGTAAAATATGACACAGCAGTCATAAGACATCTTCAGTGTCTTGCTTCTTGCAAGAAAATACTGCAATAGCAATTGAAGATAGTATTTCAGAGTGGAATTTGGCATAATTTGAATGTTAGAGTGTTTAATTTTGCCCACGAATGCATTAAAACGCCCCCTTTGCAAAGGAGGTGCATTTGTAGAGAGTCAGGCTTTATTAGTGTCAGGGACTGTTTCAGTGGTGCCTTTTTGATGTTGCCACGAGATGGCACTACAGAAACTGAAGGTTATGCCAATGGTTGGAAAGCTTTCTGTAGTGGTACCAGCACCCTGGGATTGATAGACTTTCTTCCAGTGGCTTCCTGGTCAAGTCTCTTAAGTTTATTGCTAATGCAGTAAGAACTTAATGCCATGCTAACACAGGTCTGACCAAATCATAGTTGCCTGGTAGTTGGATAGAGACAAAGAGAACAGTAACATTTGTAGTACTGCTTCAGCACTAATGAAATAAGCTTATTTTTCCTTACTTTAATGATAACAGTAAATAAAATAAAAGTCATGCTACAGCCTTCCAGACAAGCATGTTAGTTTGGTTTGTACTGGCTTACAAGCTTAAACTAAATATTTGGTCCTTTGACTTCAGTTTGGCTTGTATTTAACTTGAAAAAGTGATAAACATTTTTACTCACAATGCCACTTTACTCTTTGTTGTTGAGAATCACCCAGTTGAACTTGTCTTTGAGACAGTAGTGTTGTAAGAATAGCATGCAATCTAATTGCACCGAAGCTGTGGATTATGAAGGGGCATATAATCAGATTTAATTTATTTTTTTTCCTATTTGCCAACATTTGTTGTTTTTTTTTTATTATGTTGTTATAAGTATTTGTAGTTCTGTAGTTTGGTGTCTTGTTTTTCTGACATATTGATAGATGTGGCTTCTTTGTTAATGCTACTTTTTATGTTTTATATGAATTACAAGTTTAAAATTAAAATCTGATTGTCCTGAATATTGATTGATTTAAGATGAAATTGAGATTTTTCTTTCCTTGTGTGAAAACCAACATGACGGATGTATCTCAGTTTGGGTCCACTTGGACCTGTCTGCTTTTGTTTATGTTACTGCAAACCTTTTGTATAGTGTCTGTGAAGGTGTGAAATCTTGCCTGTTTGACTCAGTATCTAAATTGTTACATGGAGTTAGTTTGTTGGTGTTTTTAATATGGACATCTTTTACACTTTCAAGTCTAGTTCACATATGGCTTTGTTTTATGAAGTAAAGCAGTATAATCTCCTGATTCATTTTTTTATTATTTTTTTTTTTAGAACATTAAAACTTTTTTTTTTTACTCTCTTACAGACTTTCAGCACAAAATAACAGTGCAGGCATCCCCCAATCTAGATAAGAGGAGGAGTTTAAACAGTAACAGCTCTAGTCCATCAAGTAGCCCCACAATAATTCCTCGTCTTCGAGCTATACAGTGTAAGTGTGCACGATTTCTATTTGTTTACTCGGTTGACAGACACCCATTGAAACACTGGTAGCAGTATCTAATTCCAGACATATTTCTGTCCTATTTCTAGGTCCCTCATCTTGTTCTAACATTTGCAACTTGTTCTTTGATGGGACAGGATCATCTCGCTAAAATGCTAACTTATTTCAGTAACACAAAATTTTTGTGAATACTTTAAATATGTATCTCCTTAATAACTTCAGGAACTCATTTGTACACTGACTGGGATAAAACAATGAAGAATCAAAATTTATAATGACAAAAGGCAAAGTGTCTTGTTTAGAATCCATGTAAGATGGAAAACAAGTTTTTAATTAGGTATTGGAGTTGATAAAGGAAATTTGTTGTGGCTTATCAAAAAAAGGGGGGGAAAAAAAAAAAGAAGAAAAATTTAGCAAATAAGGGAGTCAAGAAAAATGGGAAGGCCAAAGAATCATCCTGCAACCCAGCATGCTGAGGTCAAAAGAGAAGCAAGCTTTAAGCAAAACCGGTAGAAAATAAAGAAGAAATTTTGCTGTAGGTTTTTTGAAAGAAAGAAGCAAAAATAAAGTTGTGGGTAGGCTTGTAGGCATATGTTATTCCATGTGTACTGAAGACAGGAGAGAAGGTGTGTTCATGCTCATGTAGTGGAGGTACAATGAATGTGGAAGAAAACTGCTCATATTGTTACAATGAAGCCTGCATTTATATTCAGGAATTACATACGTAGAGATACAAAACAATTCCTGTGGGATTCACTGATTACGTGTGTACTGTCTGAAATACTGTGCAAAGTAGGTTGTCTAATTATCCATATTTAGTGTGGAATGCTATGTGAGATGAAAAGCCTTAAGTTTTTCTGTTTATATGAAATCAGTGGAACCTGTTCCAGCTGATTGCTTACGGACGGTGACTATCTTCTCTTCCAAGGGTAGTCACCTCTGAAGGAAATTACTTCGGCATCTGGCTTTATCAGATGTAAGGAGGAGGGGAAATAAAAATGCATAGGGAGGTGTTTCTCTGCATACTGTTCTGTAGCTAGTTTAAAGATTTATTTTCTTTACCCAAACTGAAACTTTGTTTAAAGATTGGATAGAAACCAGATCTCTCATCTCCTTTGAAATACCTCTGCCTTATGAAATACTTTCCATCATTACTGTCTGAAGGAGAAGTGGTGTGTTTTCTGGCAGTAACTTTATTATTTGCTTGAACTGTAACAAAGACAATTACCGGGTGAAGACCATTACTACCCATATATTGTGGATAAAGGAGAGAGGTGGACAAACCCTGTCTTGCTTTTCGTAATGAAAATTTAAGTGGAAAATTATGTCATTCAGAAGCTAGCTGACACAGTATCTGTGTTAGTAATGGTTTCCCAACTTCAAACTGTTTAGTAGGGGTTTTGATACATTGTTTTTTACTTCCAAAATGTAAGAGAAGTTTTTCTTAGTAAAATGTCATAATTACTTATAAACAAGACTGTCTTATTTTATCTTTGACTGTCCTTGCTCTGTATGAAAATGCTTGGAAATGAAGCAAATGTCTTGCATGTGTGCTAAGTGGCACTGGAGATTTTTCTTTTTTTATTGTTGCATGCATTTGTAGAACTGGAACACACAGGGCAAAATAGAGGCTCTCCTTTGAAGAAGTACACTTCTTTTACTGAGTTTGGATACCTAGGCTTTACCTAAAAGCTTATCAGATCTCTCAGGAGTATCTAGCTAAAACAATTTAGCTTCCACACCCATCTGCACCTGTGCAAAATAAATTCTCTTTCCCACAATAATGTTTTATCTTGATTTAACTTCAAAGTGTCTTTGTTTCAAGAAGACTTGCTCAAATACAGATTATTTGAATGGGCGTATCTAACAATTGTTTACTTGATTGCTTCACTTTGTCATGAGTGAGTCTAACTTCCAAATCTAAATTTTTTTTCAGCTAAAATAAAAATCTGCTTAATTGAAAATCTTGCAATTAAAACAAATCCAGCTGATTTTGAAAGGTGTTTTAGAGGGAGGAGGAAAACCAGAAAGATAGATATGTAAATGCTACCTCATTTATCCTACTGTTATAACTGGCTAAGTTGTTTTTCTCTTAGGTATCTCCATCAAAGCTGTAAACACCCTATGTTGATAGCAAGTTCCATTTATAGTTAGTCGTATATGGAAATCTACTTGTCAGGGTCTAGTCCTAGGCAGAGGATCCTTTAAACCCTACAGTAAAAAAACATAATCACAGGATGTTCAGTGCCTTTATGGATCTGGGATTTATAAACCAAACATAAAAATTTAAGGGAAACAATTCCATTTCCAAAATCAACTTGACTAAGATCTCTACTACATTCTCTTAATTTTTCCTCAGTGATTCCTAAAACAGATACACACACAACTAATGGCCGAAGAAACAGTGTATATGTGTACCAGCAAGATGTAGATATCACAAGTGAATATGAACTTCCCAGTGGGGTTATGAAAAAAGGCAAGAATTCATTATGTTTTAAAGGTGCTGGTTTAGTTTAATTTAACAGTTGAGACAGTGACAGACTAAGCATTTAATGAAGGTTAGACACTTTAAAAATATCTTTTTTTTTGTTGTAGTGAGAAAGAAAATGTTATTCCTTATTAAAATTGGAATATTCTGGTTCATTTCATACCAGTTGCTCCATGGCATGTATTTTCTTCATTGGAATTTAAGTGCTCAGTCTAACTCACTTGTCTGAATTACCTAAATATAAGGTTCTCAGTTAAAGGAAGCATGGAAAATTATTGTTTTGCTGCTTCATCTTTCATTTGGGTCTCCTGTCAGCTCATAAATTGTATTTCTTTCTTGCTTATCTTTTTGGATCAGTGCATTTTGCATGGTGGTTTTTGTAAGAGGGGGGAAAAATCTCAAAATTTGTTTACTACTTTTTGTGTTACTGTGTCAAAATTATTTTACAATGGAGAAAATAGTCTGTTTCTGTCTGTCGAAGTATTTTTGTTTTAGAAATTACTATTTATGTGTGGGTTTTTTTGTCTGTGTTTTTAAATTCAATCTCTAGTAACTTCAGATGAAAGCAACAGAACTTGGGGAAGGAGCACAACTTATCACCAAGAAGAGTTTGAAGATGTGAAGAGAAGTTTTAAAAAGAGAGGTTGTACATGGGGACCAAGTTCAGTTCAAATAAAGGATCGTGCAGATTGTAAGGACAAGTATGTCTACTACATTTTGTTTGTTTGATAATCCTAAGAGTAAGGCATCCTTTTCCTTGTCTCTTCTAGTATAAATAATGATTGCGCGATTTTTTTTCTTGGTAGAGACATCCACTCATTTATCTGTTGGTTCCAGACCATCTATTGAAACTGGCTTTATGATATTTTTGTTTGTTTTAAAGTCATTATACTTAATAAATTTCCAATACTCACATAATTTCTTTGACACAGTGAAACTGTTGTCCAGGTGTGCACCAACCTTAGTTCTTCAATATAGTCAAGGTCCATTTTTCATTGTCTTTTTTTTAGGCTGGACATTTTAATCTTGTAAAGAATACCTGATGTAAGGCACGTATCAATTTTGAATCATATGATTCTGTGCTATTATATGCATTTTTTTTTTAGCTTTGGAAAGCTTTACTTTTTCCAAGTTATGTACTACATGTTTATAGTTTAATAAAAGAGATCTTTTAGTAATTTTCTTGTCGAAGTGTATATAATCATGGTATCCTCTGTAATATCAAAATACCTATTGTTGTTTCAGAGTGAGACCTCTTTCAGATGGCAGCAACCCTTGGTCAACGCTTCTCATGAAAAATCAGAAGGGTGTTCCCTTAGCGTCGTTATTTGTGGACCAAGGTGAGAGCTATTTTTGAAAAAGTGAAAGTTGCCATATAATGGCATTAAGTATATCTCCAATGTTATACATTGTATTGCTTTACTTTCTCAAGGATTATGCAGATTATTAGAAGAGTAGTCAGGCTACAAATACTTTTACTGTTAAAAAAAACCACTATAACAAAACATTTTAACATCTTTACATTTCCAGCATTAGCAGCTAAGAAATTAAATATGTGGTGTTGTTTAGGCAACATATTGGGAGTTACAAAATGCAAAAGCATACTTAATCCTCTTAGAATCAGAAACATAGTAGCTGTATGTGGCTTTTTATGTCCGTTACTATGGCTATATGATACTCACAATCATTCTCAAATTTACACACACTTTCTATACTACAGATTCTCTTACCTGAGAAAGTTAAGTTACCAGTGTCAGATAAAAAAACAGTGATATAACATGATGTCAATACCCAGTGGCTAGATTTGTGACAGCTGGAAGAGGAAATGGATGCTGCTTTTTTCGCTTTTTTTTCCCTAGGAAAAGAGCATTTTCATCTTTGTAAATACTGGTAGGGATACAAAGCAAGGCTTCACAAATAGTAATTTAATAGATTATTTAATTGATTAAACCCCTACATGCAAAGAAGATTACACAAGTTTATGTATTTGCATTTCAAGTATTTCTGTGTTTATTCTGTAGCATTCAGTAGTTTATAGTAGAATAACACACGTGGGTCATATGATACCTTCCATGTTATTTTTTGTTAGGTGCAGGATGTCAAATTTACTTCCTACTCTAGACCACTATAGTCTAATGAATTAATTGGAAAAATTTCTAGTAACTCACTGGGTTTTGGAATATGCCTTAATTGAAAGTATTGTAAAGAGTGTGCCCCAAATCTTCTCTGGCAGTTTGTGTAGAGTAAATTAGTTCACTGTAGTCCATACAGAGAAGTATTTTTCATGTTACTTGAAAAGCACTACCAAAGTGTTGCAAATCCTCAAATATTACAGAAAATGCAAAAACAGTATCTGTTCTTCAACTGTGCTGAGTGCATAAAGGTTGGCAGAAAAAGCATGCCTCTTAAAATAGAAGAGTAAGTCTTTCAGATGCGGGTAACATAATTTGCATCTAAAGGGGGTGTAGAGTATACCTCAAGGTTAATACTTGTGCAAGTGGAATGAAATAATGTGTACATAGGCAGACATGTGACAGCAAAATAGCTGAATTGGAATCTTAAAGTATACTGTAATGTTTTATAGGTGTCTGTACTGATAAGAAACTACTCCCTGAAGGTTTGGACAGTAAAAGACCAAAGCCAGTTAAGCTGCCAAATCAGGCCTATATTAATCTACCTCTTTGGAAAGATGATCAGGGAGAGAATACAGTAGAACATGAGAGCTTTGAAGAAGGAACCTCTGCTAGTTCTACAAATAGTACTCCTCAAATGACACCAACAAACAGTCTGAGCAGGACACTGCAGAAAAAGAAGACTGATTCAGTGCTTTATGGGTGTGCTGTCCTGCTTGCATCTGTTGCCCTGGGCTTAGATATCAGAGAGCTGAACAAATCGCAGGGTTCAGATGAGCTCTTGCCTAAAGATGAGAAGAAGAAACGTGATGGAATATTTCAGCGTGCTTCAAAATTTCGCAGGAGTACCAGCCCTACAAGACTGCAGTCGAAAAAAGAGGAAACAAGTATTCCATCCCTAAATCCAGCTGCAAATGCTGTGAATCTTCTCTCTATGCCCTCCATTTCCACAAAATGCCTACTTCAATCTGACAGCGAAGATGCATTTGTAAGCTCTGTCCTTGGTGATTGTGGTCCATGTAGTTCCACTGATCACTTTTCATCTAAAAGTAAGAGAGAACTGAGCATACAGCTGGCTCCAAATACAGTTTCTACACGATTGAAAAATCAGCCTTTTAATATTTGTCTGAAACAAGAATCTCAAAACGTGCCAAATGACTCCTCAACAAAGTTAAGTGTGTTGGGTCACAGACGAACCTTATCAGATGGGAACAATTTTCAGACCACAGGTGGGTGATTAAGAACTTAAAATGCAGGGCATTTTTAAGTACAGAAACAGAAAATGTAGGAAAACCAACCATTCACTAATGAAGAATTTATGTTGCACTTTCCACAAATCCTTAAGTTAAGCTGTTGATACAATCTTAAGCTGTAAAAGGGTCTTGAAATTTGGTAGGAAGCTTGTGATTGCTGAGTTTTTTAAAAGAAGTTATAAATGTCAATAATGGTGTTCTGTGGTGACTTAAAATGGCCTGTTCTTCATGGTACTCTATGCATATGTAATCACTCATAATAACCAGACAGATTTGTGGGGCTTTATTTCAATATTAACATTAATTCAGATACTGGGTGATTAATGCTCTCTGTATATTTCTTTTGTGGCAATAAAAAATAAATTATTATGGTCTCTAGCAGAGAGCACAGAGACAAAAATGTTACTTGAAAACTGCTCGTCCTCTCTTAGGAGATTCTCTACAAATGTATGAGTCTCTTAATTTTCTCAAGATAAAAAAAGAACCCTAGTGTTTAGGGCAACCCAGTTTTACAAATGGCAAAGAAATCAAGACGTCACATGGTTTAAATTGTCTTTGTTTGGCCTTTGCTTTCCTCTAGCTAATGGATTTTCTTCAACCAATGATGTCTCCACGTTACCAGTTTTATCAGTTACTGGAACTCTACACTCTCCGTCTGTTCAGCAAAGAAGCAACCACAGTGGTATTTCAACTGAAAAGCAAAGTGCTGTCAATATTATATCAAGGCCTCGACCTTCTTCTCTAAGAAGTAAAATTGATGCATGGCAGATTATTCCACGTACTATTAAGCCAAACTCTAAGGACTCTGACTATGTAGAGGGCAACGTGGATCCAGATGTTAACTTCTTGCCAGACACAGCGGAAAGAACTAATTGCCACATGCCCTCATTACTTGATATTGATGTGGAAGGTCAAAACAGAGACTGTACTGTGCCTTTATGTAGAATGAAGAGCAAAACTTGTCGGCCATCTATATATGAACTGGAGAGAGAGTTTCTCTCATGAGTGCCTTTCATTTTAAAAATGTTTTGCTTTCTAAAGGGGAACAAATATAAAATTCTGGTCCATCTAATGCTTTGTGCTGCTGTTTTCTGATGTACTGTGACAAATAGTACCAAAATTATTAAAATGGGCAGCTAATTAAGAAAGTGTAGTAGGTGCCTTTTTCAAACATTCCTTGGAATCCCAGCTAGTAATTTGAAAAACACAATGCTGCAAAATAGTGTTCTCGGTGAATTTTATAAGCATATTTTGAATTACTAAAGTAACATGTCCACCTCCCTCTGCAGTGTCATGGAACTTTTCTTTAGGTTTGAGGGGTTTTGTTAGAAATTTAAGTTTTGCACATTTTAAAAATGAATTACATAGAGTAAGGCTTTGTTTCATCCAAGAAGAATTTTGCCTAAGAAGTGGCTGTCTGCAGCTTGCCTCTGTGGCCTGCAGCAAGGGGATTTAAGGTGCTGGTGCAGGAGTCTCTGTTCAATTCTTATTAAGTAGCTGGTTAGGTTTTGGCATTTGATACTGAAATTGTTAAAGGACCAGCACCTGAATTTGCAGTCTTTGCCCTTGTTTTTTGTGAGAACTTTCAACTGTGTGCATTAGTTTCTCCAGAAAGTTACACTGCTTGTATAAACACTTAGGTTTCAGTCACCATATCGATTTGAGAGGGTAAACTTCAGTATTGCAATTGGATTAAAGGTATTTGACATACTTTATAATGTGAAACAACATTCCTCATAGGTAAGCATACACTGGAACGTAAATATTTGTACTCCTGGCCTTTTGGAGACTACGATGTTTGCACTGAAAACAATATTCTTGGTTTTTTATTTTTTTGTTTGTGGTGGAGGGGTTTGCTCCCCTTCTTGTTTTTTAAACTCATCTGCACCTTGTATTGAGGAAAGATGATGGGTTTTAAGGATGGTTTGGTTTGGTTTTAAGTGAGCCAACAGTGCATTGTACTGCACTCAGAGTTTAAAACTGCAATGATTTAATATTAAATCTCAATGTAATTGCTGCAGCTTTTCTTTCTAAAGTTACTACTGAGTGCCCAGTTATTCATATTTAGGCATTAAAGGACAGAAACAGATATGCTTGACTGGTTTTCAGTGATAGAAGGGTTCCAGAAAATTCCAAGTAGTTAACCATGGGAGGAGGAACATTTCACCTTGATAACAGCAATAGTTTAATTTTTTACAGTATCACTAAGTAAGTGATTAAATAAAGCCAAATGTACAGTATTCTTTCTCTGATGAAATCAGTTCTGGAATTAAAGGAACATCCCTTGTATTCCAGTATTTGAAGCCTGAATTTTGCGTATCATTTGACATTTAAGTAGTCTTCATAAATAAAATTAGATAATGTTAGAATAAAACTCCTACATTCCTGTCAGAAGACAGTTTTGTTGAGACAGTTTTTAATGTTTTCTTCTTCTTTGCCCTGGGGTCTGGGAGTTCAGTTGCTAAACAGAATACACAGTGGCTTAAAGCTTCAAAACCAAGGGATTAAAAAAAGAAGTTTTCTGTTCTAAGACTGGTAAGCAGTACAGTGGGTACCTTGAGGATGACAGATAATTATACATACAAAATCATGAAGTCTAAATCACACAGAGCGGAACGCATAAAATGCAACTTCCCAGCTCTCAAAGTGAAAATTAAAAGGATTTCCTTAAAGTGTTAGTTTACCAAAAGTAAAGACATAACCACTATTTGTCTGTAAAAGTAAAGGCTTGCATAGCAGACTATTAAGTTACTACATTTTGTTCAAACCTGTTTCTATTTCAGTATTTCGACATGATTCAAGTTGCATACTGCTCTTTGTCTGTTCTTTAAACTTTAATTTCATCAGAACACTTTAAATAGAAGTGTATTCCAGTTTTAGTACAAAATGTTTTCATAAAATTCAATTAGGTAATGCACACGGGTCAAATTTTAAGTATAGTTTCATAGCAGATTTATCTTCAAGGCTTAATTAGGATTTTAGAGCATTGTTGTATATTCCAACATTTTCTTGATCAATTGTGTAATACTGAGAGAAAAGGAGCTGATTGTATTACATGTTTCTGAAGAAAGTATCTTTAGCTTTCTACAGGAAAATCTCAGGTGCTGAAGTATTTTGACTTGTAAACTTCTGTTAAGTTCTGTTCTGTACTTTTGAGGTTTATATAATTTTAAATGTTGAATTTTGCACCCTGTGTTTTGTAATTAGTAGTATGGGCATAAAAAGCCCTTTGAGCTGTATTGTTTTCACTTACCAGTGGCTTATCTCTCTTGTAATTAAACAAAGATTTGTACTCCTGTTCAGTGGATAATTTTGCATAAGAGTGGGACATATAATGTGACCAGCACAGTGTGTTGTAACTAATTTAGGACTTTGCATTCCACCTCTTATTTTAAGACAGTTTGAGTAAGCCATCTCAAGCATTTCTCTTATGCGATGAAGGTTTTTTTAAAGCTATAGTCTGTAGTGCTTGATCATTGGGTTTTTTTATAGCCTAAAATTTTAGGCCAGTCTCCACTGAAATTAAAGAGAAAAAGAAAAAAAATATTGCAGTTGTGGTTTCACAGTCTGTATTTCAGTTGTCACCAGAGAAACCTTCTGTAAAGGTAGGGTAATCTGTTATGCATTAAGTGATCTGTCTTGGTTAAAATATTTATTTCAGTGTAGGTGAATAACCTGAACAATAATAATTTATGTTGATTGTTTTAGCATAAAACTGAAGGTGCTTACACTACAAAGATTAGGATAAACACTTGACATGCTGTTCTACAAAATCTCATTGAAATGTTTTTATTTAAAAAAAAATAAATGTTTTGTAGCTACTGTCTTGCAAAGTGACCTGAATTTTTTTGAAAAAATATATTTTAATGCTTTCTTAACACATACAAAGGAGCTGTCTGGTGAATAAACAGGAACTATAGACTATGGTCAGCTTGTTCTTGGACCGCTAGAACATGATTGTTACTTTAAGATTAATTATCCAGTACAGGAATGTGAATGCTCCTGTAATTTCTTGCAATTGATGTGGCAGAAACATATGGTGTAACTGTGTTGTTTTTTCTTTCATGTGGTCAAAATGTTTTTTGATGCTTTTACAATGTTGGCTTGGTATCTTAAAAGAGGCAGAGCAGTGGATATAAATAAATTCTGCATCTCATTCAGCATCAAGAATACAGGTAAGAACATTTCTGTTGTGAGGATTTTGAGGGGGTAGGGTTTGGTGGGGTTTTTTTTTTGTTTAGGGAGATTTCGTACTTTGAGTTTTTTCTTTGGGTTTGTTGTGGGGTTTCTTTAGGCAAATTAATCCATTATTTTCCTTCTGCAGTGGTCAAATGTCTTCTTGAGTCTGTTAAGGAAATTAGTATGCGTTTCCTTTGATGTACATGCCACCTGAAATGTTTAAGAAAGAAGTGGTAATTGCAGTTCTATTGGCCACTGTAGCTCTCATCAGAATACTTTCTTCACAGTAGAACTTCTGAAATGATTCATGCTGCTGCTCTTGATAGTGGAAATTTTCATCCCCAAGGCCTTGATTCTTCCTTGTTTGTGATGCAGGTACTTGACGGCTGGCTTTGGGTCTAGGATAGAAACACTCTAATTTACCCATGAGAAATACTTGCTAGACAAAAGTTTCTGGGCAAGGGAATTGCCTTGTCTTATTTTTTGTTGTACCTTAGCCAGTGCTGACCCACTAAAAGCCTATCTGTTAGGTGCTTTTCAGATTTGGGTTTTTATTTATCATGGTTGCTCTTCTGTGATTAAGCAAATTCTGTTGGTTTACAGAAACAGACTAGCATAACTATTATTATTTCTAGAACCAGACTATCATCCCTGTCATTATTATAGAACCTTTACTTTTGTTATCTATAGCTAGGGGATGTAATGTAAGCAAGGGGGCACTCTGTGTTTGCCCATTACATGCTAGTAGATACTAGGGATAGATAAGGAAGGATATTATTTTGTAGCTGTAAATATGCAAAGTAGCTGTAAATATGGAGTGTTTTTTCCCCATTTACCTTAAAACCTTTGAACACTTTCAGGATGTTTAAGGAAGAGGGACAGGAAATGCTTCCCTTTTCTAGCTGCATGTGAGCCAAATAGAGGAGTCTGGCTTGTATGTGCCACAGCAGATGTTGCTGAAGGTAATTAACAGATAAAAAGCACTCTGTAAATTTCTATATAGTATGAATATATATAGTGAATGCTTTTTTAAAAAAATAAATTACCTCAAATTTTTTTTGCAACGATTGTAGTGCTTGTTTTGGAATTTATTTTTTTGATACCTGATTAATTTTTTCGAATATTTGTGGAAGTAAGGATAGGATGAGTCTAGGTTACAGTTGGAAAAAAACCACCACAACAAAAACCTAAGTAGGGAAGTTTTGTCTCCACTTTCTCCCTTTCTATGTTCTCAAATTTAAGTTTATCTTGCTGCTAACAATGAAAAAGTCAGGAGGCCCTATAATTCAGGAAAGCCTTCACTGTAAAATAAAGTACATTAAAAATAGTAGTTCAGGACTGAGTGTGAGAACCAATGAGATTAATGATACATATACTGAGTATGGAAATCTGGCAATATCTGTATCTTGTAATGCAAGCCAGTTAGCTTTTCTCTTTGGAAAGGAACTCAAAAGATCAAAACTTGAAAGTATTGGTTCACCATGGTGTAACAGATGACAACAGGTATACAGGAGACCAATTATAGTTTAGAGACTAGTTATTTATCACCCTTTTCTATTTGCAGTTACAATATGATTGAACCTTCTTGGATGTAGAAAGATGTCCCGCAGATTTCTCATGATGTGCACCAGTGTAGTTGCTACAAAGAGAGGCCAGAAAGTTAAGTTCTCTACTTGTCCTCTGCTGTAGTGGACCTAGGCAAAACATCACTCTTGACTCAAATCCGTTCTTTCTCACAGGTGCAGCTGTGCTTCCTGGGTCTTTTTCTTCACTTCTTTCACTGAAATCTGTTTCTCTCTGGAATTATGCCCAGGTACTTGGTTTAGGACTTCTTGGGGTGGATTGATCCTATAGAGCAATCAGCTTTCATCTAACAGCTCTGTTTCT